GCCTGCCGCTCAAAGCACTCGAATATGCCTTTTGCACGCTTTCGCGTGCGCCAGACGATGCGCTCGCCCGAAACGACATGAAGAAAAGATTGCAGAAATAGGTGGAAATGAACATACCTCTCGCACAGAGTTGATGTTGATGTAGTACTCGGTGTCCTGGGGGTGGGGAACGAAGGGCTCGACCAAGAACTGCCTCAGTACACCATCGACAGTCTCGACGCGCTGCTCCTTTCCTGCCCTCGCCTCGATCCATTCCCTCGCCTCAGCCCAGGTCTTGTTCAGCGCGAGCAGACCGCTCTTGCCTCGCCTCTTGATCAGTTGGTCTGGCTTTGCGACGAACTTGGATCCGGGAGTGAGGAGCCATGGGTATGTGGCCTCGGCCTGGTCGAGCACGCCCTTGACGTCCTCATCAGCGGCGAAGTGCAGCGATGCGAGCTTGGAGGGGGGGTTGTGTGTGGCCGACGGGGGAAGAGGAGTGGGCTTGATAACGGGAGCGCGGGTGAGGTGGTAGTTGAGGATGGCCTTGCCGTCGGCCTCGAGGATAGACTTGGCTGACATTGTGGTGTTTGGTCAAACTGTGAGGGATGAGTATTGCAATGTCAAGAAGAGCGGCTCGCGTGGAGGCAATGGGCAGCAGAAAGATTCAAGAAACTCGCAGGATCAATCCCGACGACAGTCTCGGCAATGGTTACGGGGCCTTATGCGATGTCCGGAGACGAAGATGTTCGGAGAAGGTGATGAGGGGGCCGGCACAAGAAGATGCAAAATGGCAGGCCGGGGTGGTGAGACGTACCTGTATTTGTTGAGGCTTGACACACGGTCTGTAAGAGGATTAAGAGGAATTGCTGGCAAGACTTGAGTTGTCAGACGGCTTGGAAGGGAGCTTGAGAAAGCGGTCTGATGTTTTTTCTGCGTGTTGAGCAATGAGGGCGGGCAGCAGATGCAGGGCTAAGGCACTCGGCGCACGACGAGCCTATCACAGCGAGGCCACCCCACCAGGGGTACATGAGCTGCGGATGGCCTACACAACCCACGACGAGCCATCAACGAGCCGAAGAGAGGCGATTCCGACACATATTCCGCGATAGCAGGACCCAAAGTGTGACTATTGCACGCATTGAGGCTGCATCTATTACCATTACCCCCATTCCGAGGTGCGAACTGGCGGTGCAAGACATTCGGGTCCCCGTTCACCGCTCGGGACTTGGGGTTAGCGCCACACGGATCTAGTTCGTGCAGGGGACATCACTCTCCAGCTCAACACCGCCAAAAGTAAGGGCCCAATCTTCGGAAAGAATCGCATTTCCCTCTTCGCAACCTTCTCCTCATCCATCCAAGCATCTCTGCTTTGCCAACGACACGGCATTGCATCCATAAGGTGAGTAGTCCCCGAGCCCCGACTGGGACGACGTTGTTGAGCTCCATCCCACCTTGCCCGCTCTCGCGTGCCTGCCCCAACAGCTCCGAAGCATTTTTTCCACGCAGACCGAACCCTCACGTCAGCCAACCATATATCCCCCGACCGACATCAACGTCGGCCAATTTGGACTTCAGACTGACATTTCTGCCCTTCCAGAATAAATTGAAGCCTCAGATCGACCACTGACGCACACACGGCCACCATGCCTTCCGCAGACGTCCCCTCGCAGGCGGCTACCTCGACCGGCGAGGGCCTCTCAGCAAACGACAACATCCGTCGTTTCGCTGCCCCCAGCCGGCCAATGTCACCACCGGCCGCCCACACACTCTTCCACCCCAAGACACGATGCTTCGTCTAGTAAGAGACCCCCCGCGACTACAATACAAGGAGAGCAGGGCTCTAACAAATGTGAACAGCGGACTGCAGCCCCGTGCCGTCCAGGGTATGCTTGACTTCGACTTCATCTGCAAGCGCAAGCAGCCTTCCGTCGCCGGTATCATCTACACATTCGGCGGTCAATTCGTCAGCAAAATGTTTGTGCCCGGCAAATGCTTTAGCCCCTAAGAACGCTCGACTGACAATACGCAGGTACTGGGGAACCAGCGAAACTCTGCTGCCCGTCTACCAGAACGTAGAGAAGGCCGTCGGCAAGCACAACGATGTTGACACTGTTGTCAACTTCGCCTCGTCGCGCTCAGTCTATCAGTCCACCATGGAGCTCATGGAGTTCCCTCAGATCAAGTGCATTGCCATCATCGCTGAGGGTGTACCCGAGCGCCGTGCCCGTGAGATCCTCCACGTTGCCCAGAAGAAGGGCATCACCATCATCGGTCCCGCTACCGTCGGAGGTATCAGGCCTGGTGCGTTCAAGATCGGTAACACTGGTGGTATGATGGACAACATTGTTGCTTCCAAGCTCTACCGCCCCGGTTCCGTCTCCTACGTCTCCAAGTCCGGTGGTATGTCTAACGAGCTGAACAACATCATCGCAAACACTACCGATGGTGTGCTCGAGGGTGTTGCTATTGGTGGTGACAGGTACCCCGGTACCACTTTCATCGACCACGTTCTCCGATACCAGGCCGACCCCGACTGCAAGATCATTGTGCTGCTCGGTGAGGTTGGTGGTGTCGAGGAATACCGCGTCATTGAGGCTGTCAAGTCTGGCCAGGTTACCAAGCCCATTGTTGCCTGGGCCATCGGTACCGTTGCTGGTATGCTCAAGACCGAGGTTCAATTCGGTCACGCTGGTTCTTTCGCCAACTCTCAGCTTGAGACTGCGGCGACCAAGAACAAGACCATGAGGGAATCTGGCATCTACGTGCCAGAGACCTTCGAGGAGATGCCCGGGACTCTTGCTCAGGTCTACCAGAAGCTCGTCAAGGACGGCACCATCAAGCCCAAGCCTGAGCCCGTTGTGCCCAAGATCCCCATTGACTACTCATGGGCGCAGGAGCTTGGTCTCATCCGAAAGCCTGCTGCTTTCATTTCCACCATCTCTGACGACCGTGGCCAAGAGCTTCTGTACGCCGGTATGCCCATCTCCGATGTCTTCCGGGAGGAGATTGGCATCGGTGGTGTCATGTCACTGCTGTGGTTCCGTCGCCGCCTGCCTAACTACGCTAGCCGTTTCCTTGAGATGGTCCTTATGTTGACTGCCGATCACGGTCCAGCTGTGTCTGGTGCCATGAACACCATTATCACCACCCGTGCTGGTAAGGATCTCATCAGTGCGTTGGTCTCTGGTCTTTTGACCATTGGTTCGCGTTTCGGTGGTGCGCTTGACGGTGCCGCTGAGGAGTTCAGCAAGGCCTTCGACAAGGGTCTCAGCCCTCGTGACTTCGTTGACACCATGAGGAAGGAGAACAAGCTCAGTAAGTTGCCCGAGGAAAAAGTTTCATTTGCGCAGCAGCTAATACATCTCAGTCCCCGGTATTGGTCACAGGATCAAGTCGCGTAACAACCCAGATCTCCGTGTCGAGCTCGTCAAGGAGTACGTCAAGAAGAACTTCCCCAGCACTAAGCTGCTCGACTACGCGCTGGCTGTCGAGTCGGTCACAACATCTAAGAAGGACAACTTGATTCTCAACGTTGACGGTTGCATCGCTGTCTGCTTCGTCGACCTTGTACGCAACGGTGGTGCCTTCACCCAAGAGGAGGCTGAGGACTACCTGAAGATGGGTGTCCTCAACGGTCTCTTCGTCCTTGGCCGAAGTATCGGTCTGATTGCCCATTTCCTTGACCAGAAGAGGCTGCGTACTGGTCTCTACAGGCATCCCTGGGACGACATCACTTACCTCCTGCCTTCGCTGCAGGCTGGTGGTGCGCCGGGTGCTGAGGGCCGTGTTGAGGTCAGCTTGTAGAGTCATGTTTGGAAAAGGCAAGGGTATATCCGGTTCTAGTCGCTTGATGGCGGACCCAAACTGGCGTTTTGAGCGTGGTAGACGAAGGCCTCCCACAGCATCCTAGGGCCACTGTAGCAATACCCGCCCGCTGTTGGCGGACATATATTATTTAATGTCAAACGAACAAGCAATTCATTTTCCGCGTGCAATACCTCATACATTCAAGTTGATACGGATGCGTCGGCAGCGACTTTTTCCAGCCCGTGGGCGGTCTAAGGTAGTGTGGTGATCTATCTTTAGCGTCATCTATGGCGGTTGTTTGAACAAGCAAAATAGCGTTCCTCGGCTCGCTTCGATTTTCATTCGACATCTAACTTGAAAGAATGAGCTCTGGAACATTAGGTCGCCCGGAGTAGGTGAGAATAAAATCCACTCGTACGAAAGACAACCTGGATGCAGGTAGCCGTCTCTTATTCTTCCATTGACCCACCGAAACAACGCGGAAGAATCCCATGCTCTACACTGTACCTGAACGTGCCGTGTCCCGCTCACCGGTTTCCCGGTGACGACCACGAGAAGCGTTAGCAAAAGCCATGGGCTAACTGCGCGTGGTATAGCGGCCAACACATTCGTGCGAAAGGACAAAGTCACGATAGGGCCTGGGCTCCCGCTGTCAGCTCCCAGCCACCTCGTCGATTTTGGCATCATTCGATGCGCCAAAACTTCTTGTCTTGGTATCCACCATGGTGTGGTTGAATCCGGCTGTTACGGATGCCGTACAATTAAGGAATTACAACATCTTGGTTCACGCATCGATGATCCAGTGATGATGTATTCCCACGGATGTGTGTCCGCTCGCAATCTTTGGCTCAAGGCGAACATCGACATGCTATAGCTGTTGAGTAAGGGTTCGGTTTCTGTAATGCCCCTCTCGTACATGCAGCGGCGCGTATTGAATCGTGAGTTTGTCCGCGCCACTTTCTCGTCAGGCGTTCAGCCGCTATCGCTATTGGGGGCCACGGACTGCTCGCTTCTTCGTACTGGCGGGTAAGGTGCCTTGCTGCTGCCTTGAAATAAGCATGGGTTTCTAGTTGCATGCAAGCTGCCGCAGGGAATAAGTACAGATGTGATCCCAGGATCCAGTGGGTTCAGCCTTATCGTTGGTATTCTATCTCACCAGCAAGCAACATCGTCACCGTCTCGGTGTTGAGGTACCACACCAACAACCTTTTGCAATGTTCACGCGCACCATCGTCGCCGCAGCAGCTTCTGCCTGCCTTGCTGCTGCTCAGAGTTCGGACTCGGAACATACACACGCTGCTTTCGCTTTTGTTCGAACGGGAGAGAGAACACCTATTCTACGCAATGATACCCAGATCCTCACCACTGTCGGCGCAACCCAAATGCATGCGCTAGGGCAGAAGCTCAGATCAAAATATGTCACTGGTGCCGGATCCATCGCGGGTGTGTCAAAGGACGTTCTGGACAACGATCAGATTTGGGTTCAAACGTTGGATACGCCGTACCTCGTATCATCTGCCCAAGCGTTCATGCAGGGGCTCTACCCACCACAGGAAGCTAGCAATGCAACGGAAGTGCTCGCAGATGGCACTTCTGTCGACTACCCGCTCAACGGATATCAGTATGCTAGCATCCACGCTGCCAGCCCCAACGACCCGTACTCGAGACTCGTATCTGGAACATTATCTTGCCCTCAAGGACAGGCAGACGGACTGAAGTATTTCACTACTCCAGAATTCAAGGCGGCGAAGGGAGCCAACGAAGATCTATACAAGAAGCTGAAAGTGGATTGGTTTGAAGGCTTCGCCGAGCAAGATGACTTGTCTTACACCTTCGCACTTGAACTCGCAGATTACCTGTCATACCAATACGCGCACAACTCTAGCATCTACAAAGTCTTGGCAAACGACTCCGACTATGCAGGTGTATATGACAAACTGCGATACAATGCCGACGAAGTAGCCTGGTATCTCTACGGAAACACTTCCGCATCTACTGCAGACTCCGACGACCGAGCTATCGGTGGCAAAACACTCGCAGGCTCAATCCTTCACTCATTCAACCAACTCCTCCCAGAAAAGACAGGCAGCGAGAATTTGATTAACAACGCTGGGCAGACCAACAAGCCCAGCCCGCTTACCTTCTTCTTTGGCGAACAGGACGCCATGGTGAGCCTCATGTCACTCATGATGCTCGACTCCCAATCACCCGGCTTCAAATCCATTCCCCCTTACGGCTCAGCCATGATCTTTGAGCTTTTCAGTACAGGCGATAGCGCGGAGATGCCCAGTGATCCCAACGACCTCTGGGTACGCTTCTATTTCCACAATGGAACAGACTCTGACAACGAGCCACTCCGGTCATACTCCATGTTCAACAGCGGGAGGTCGATGACAGACATGCCGTATGGGGAATTCTACACTATACTGAGCACTATCGGCATGCAAGGATTGAGTGACTGGTGCAAAAGCTGCAGCAGTCCAAGTCTTTTCTGTATCGGCGCCGATGGAAGCGGTGTAACGCTTGTAGTTCCCACACCACAAGAACGACCGAAGAAGGATGCCATTTCCCCTGTCGTTGGAGGCATCATCGGCGCGGTTGTTTCTCTCGTCGTAGCCGGTCTACTCTTCGCATTCGCCATGTTACTCGCTGGCATCCGCTTCCATCGGGTTGAACAACGTCTTGGTCACAGTCCGAAATCAGAGTTCGGTGGCTTCAAAGGATCTGCAAAGTTGGCATCAGATCCTGATGTTAGTCTGTCGAGAAACGCGGTACCGCCAGCTACTGCTACAGCAGGTATCGTTAGCTTTGGTGGAGACCATAAGAGGGGACATGAAAGGGTTGGGAGTTGGGAACTCAGACAGAAGGAGTTTGGTAAGGATATTGGGGAGGCGAGTCCGAGAAGCAGTTTCGAGGCGATTGATGCTGTTGCCACGAGAGGGGTTGAGTCGCATGACCGTGTGTAAGTTGCGCACCTTCTTGAGCAGGAAAAATGGGCAGATTTGAGCGGTAAATTTTTGTTTTTTTCTGTTACGCTCTTTATGACACGACGATGGAATGTATATCCAAAGGAGAAGAGAGGAAGGGACCCGTCGGCCTTCACTTTGTACGATCTTGATACCCGGTTTTCCTCTATGGATGCCATTGAAAGTTATGCTTTACTATAACGACGACACTCGCTTTACGAATCAAGAAATTCAAGCATTTTTGAAGTTCTCATCTCTTTCTCTCATTCACTCACATATCGTGATATGTTGTCTCTTGTCTTGCCTATCATACCCAAGTCTCACTCCACATATGTCTACATAGTTCCTCCAACTATCCATATATCCATTGATCAAACCAAGCCAAAGCGAGAACGCATAGTCCAAGGGTTAAGACGCCCACTCCATGAACCCTCTACTAAGTAGTGCTTGCGCTGATTGGGCCGAAAGGACCACGGGCAGGACGCAGTTGGCGAGAAGCCGCAGCGTGGTTAATGTGGGAGATGCTAGTTCGAGTCTAGCTGCGTTCAAGACATCTTCTTTTTTGCTTGAGCTTGGGGTGTGTGTGTGTGTGTGTGTGTGTGTGTGTGTGAAGAAGATGGGTTGTAGGCGTTGCGAGAAGATATGAGCTGTTATACTTCCAATACACACATACTTGCTTTAGATGTATGTTGATGGCGAACTCCAAATTGTCAGTTCATCACTATTGTCATTCACGTTGAACCGAACCCCTATTCGTCTTCATCTTATCATCTGGTCAACTCAGGCTCCTTTTTATTCTCAACGTGTCCTCTTTACAAGTTCGCAGGCGAGAGTGTTGAGTTATGACGTGCCGATATCAGAGTAGAGACGATGCAAGACGTGGTCTGTAAGCTTGACCGGGACGTTGATCTAATACGGAAAAGGATCAGAGGCAGTGTAACAATTTAGAATCGGAAAAATTTATATAATCTCATTGAAGGCATATACAAATGCAAGCAGACATAAGTATCGGCCGCATGCCATGCCTTTTTAACTCCTTACGAACGCCATGTAAAGGCAAAAAGCCACAAAAGTAAGGCTGTGCCAAAGCACATATCGTATTTTCGTCTCATTAACGTAAACATCGACCATATTATCGACAAAGAAACGAAGCCCCGAATACATCTCTTGCTCATCTCAAAAGCTGTCCTGCAATGCCGACAGCAACACCTGCTGTCATGAGGTAATCGGCACAGCGGGCTCTCATGCCTGCGTTTCCTTGACCGTCAAAAGCCGCACAAGCCTCGACAGTAAGCTGCGAACATCCCAGACTGCTCAAGCTCGAGCAGATGCTCTGAGCAGACTGGAGGCCCACACTCGGAATTGCGGTAATGGTGGCACCGGCGCCGTTGGGTGCCGATATAGTGACGCCAGCCGCGCCGTTGGCTAGAGCAGTCGTACAGCTTGCAGCATCACTTTGGCAGCTTGTATAAGCGGACGAGCAGGCAGCTGCGTTGGAGTAAGTCGTCGGTATGTACGGGAAAGGGTAGAATTGGTTCTGTACCGTGCTTCCGTGGTTTGCGCCATTTGTTTCCTGCACGAAGGGGCTGTCGCCTGTTGTGGATGCGACTACGAAGGAGACTGTGGATGTGGCCGAGGGATTTGCGCCCGTGGCAATGGCGCCAATTGCTCCTGTGCATGCTGCGCCCTGGGGGCAGCATGCTACATGTCCGGCCTGGTCGGCTGAGCACACGGCTGTTCGTGGGCAGCAGAGTCCCGGGGCGCCGAGACCAGCACAGTTGAAGTATTGGGTTGCACATGCATTGTTGTTTTGTCGCTTGAGGACTTCGGCGCCGCTGCCTGCGGGAGATGTCTCCATGGCCTCGTATACGGGGTTCTCTAATGGCGCAACGGCTGGTTCGAAGTCGGCGAAGACATCTGGTGCGGCGAGCGCTGCAAGCGGCGCAAGCAGGAGCGGGGCGAGGAATGTGCGCATTTTCCGAATAGGGACGTCTTGGTCGGTCGTGAACGAAAGTACGCGGCTTGCGCCTGAGAGTTGTTCGGTTGTTCGGGGCCGGGTTGATTGTTGGGACGGCTATCGATATAGGGGACTTCGGGAGGCTGGTGGCTGTGGGTGTGTGAGTATGGGACCGATGTGCGCCAATTGCCAACTCACGCTTAATAGACACAAGACGCAATCGATGGTTCGGTGCTATGGGCTGTCAAGTGTCGAGGTGTCGTGGGCATGAAAGTCGGTGCGGCTGTGCTATGCTGCCAAGCCAGCTGCGTTGTAACGGCAACGCGGTCTAACCGTCCAATCGGACTGTAATACGTCATGCATGTTGCACGTTCTCACTGAGGCCCGCGATGCGGGTATGCGGGCCCTGATGATCTTCTGCCTTTTGACTTTGGCCCTGCTTTGGACCTCACACCGCTTACCCAAGTTTCGACGTGTGTTCAATAGCACGATCCCACCCATAACTCGGATGCTAAGCTGGCTAGATGCAATCACGTGAAACATTCACACACACACCTTCAGTCGCCTAAGCGCCATGGTGAAAGTACAAGAACGAAACATCACAACGACTGTTTGACAAGTTTAGCATCGCCTGAGCTATCGCTTTTTTGTGGTGAGAGGTGTCGTGGCTATATTCTAGTAGTCCGAAATGAGTCGAAATGAGCAGCATCGCACTAGTGGAGGCATCTATGGATGGGCTGCACAAATAGAGAATTGTCACTTCTGCGTTGAGATCGTTTACTGTCATGTTTTCGCTGCATCAGCAATTAACTCTTAGTTCAAACCATTCTCACATCACCCCGTATCACCCCATCAGACGCCGAGGTCCAACCGCCATACAAACATGCCTGCTACGTGTGACCATTGCTCTGAACGCCAGGCAATCGCAAAGGGCATCAGTCATCATACCAGCTTCTGCATCGAATGATCTTGCAGCTGCTTCGTCTATTCGAGGACTTGTCTCCAAGTATGCACAATCGCAACTACGCCTGAAGAAGCCTACTACTGTCTTTGTCGGGGGTACTGGACAAGAAATATTGACAGAGGCAGACTGGAAGACCAATGTCAAGAGCGATGTCATATTGCTAATCTTAGCGGGAGAAGAACATGTTGGTGCTAACAAAGAACCAAACGGGCATGGTAAGTAACATAAAGTTTGAGCAAGTTTGCGCTTAATACTCGCACTTCCCACCTCGGTGTAACCATCGGTCACCGACCCCCTACCTAGATATAACAGCAGACGTAACCCCGGCATGTCCAGTTGAAGCTCTAGCCTCCAAATCACCCGCCGATTCGCTTTCTGTGTCTCGGCTTACTACTACTGTCCATACACTTCCAAGTATCGTCCACGCTGTCGGCCAACCTGATCTCCGCCTGGCACCGAGTTTCCCATTAGCACCGTCTTTACTTCGAAGAGATGGATCCGTCATCCTCTGATCGGTAGCAACATTGGGTGCAGTATGGCTTGGTACAAGACTACGTTGTCTCTACGTAAGGTTGATGGAGACAAGGGCAAGAAAGTCGCCGAGAAGCTTCGAGGGCTAGAGGGAGTATGGCGGATCCAAGCGTACCGAGAAGCATGGCTACTGGACGAGTGAGAACACAGCCACTCTGCTGGTGAGCAATGGGGTGCTGCACTGGGTACCACAGGAGCCGGAAACCACTTTGCCGAAGTCCAGGCTGTTGAAGCTTCATCACTTGCCAACATAGACAATAGTCTACAACAAGACGACGCCGTTCTCCTAGTACACTCGGGCTCTCAGGGACTGGGAGGCAACATCCTTGAGAAGTATACGACAGAGACGCACACTAGCTTCGAAGAGGGTAGTGCAGATGCAATCGGATACATGGAAGAGCATAACCAGGTCTGTGAGTGTGCAAAAGCAAATAGAGATCTAATCGCCTTGCGTTTTCGTGTATGCCTTGAACCTGGCAATGAAGATTGGACTTTGGGCAGCTCGGATGCTAGCAAATTGGACGAGAAGGCATCGAGATGATCGCAGTTGCCAAAACTGCACTGAGGAAATGCAGGATGATCGACATCTGGCACAACAACGTTGAGCGTGTCGCATGGCCTCCATCAGAACTTTGGTCAGCTGGAAAACACGCCTCCAGTATCTACAATATTGTTCCTTGTGATTGTGTGAACATCTACAGGAAAGGTGCAGCACCAACGTACGATCCGAAGATTCAGTTACCGCTCAGCCTTCTTCCACTGCCCGGATCCAGACGCACACCGACGCTCATCCTGCAGCCAACGCTCTCAACCTCCAACGCATGGGGCCTGAAGAACGGACGTTCGCTTGCCCACGGTGCAGGACGCGCCATGTCTCGGGCAAAGGCACTATCGGCATTGGCACAGAAGTACAAAGGCCAAAACATCCTGGAGCCATGGTTGACAGACTTGCAAGGCACGTGGGTCATCTGTGACGAAAAAGACCTTGTTTTTGAAGAAGCTCCAGACGCATACAAAGACGTTCAGGCTGTCAGTCAAGATCTAGTCGATGCCGATGCAGCGCAAGTTGTCGGCTGGTGTCGATCTAGGATCAGCTACAAGGTCAGAAATGAGACATGTTGAGGCAATGTTCTATCGGTAGAGGTGGATCTGCCGACACAGCAATAAACTGTGCAAACGTCTCACGGATCGACTTCCACAGGACAGATGCTGACCCGTAGGGAAGCGGCGCGGCAGAAGAGACGGCTCCTGAAAGTCTTGTGCAATGTGCGCGCGTGGTCAAGATGGAGCTGTAATCTCCATGCTTCCATATAACTCTGCCTCAGTTAGATGCGCAACCCTGTCTTTTCTCGATTCACCCGCTTCTGTCAATTTCCTCTGATTCCCGCTCCCCATCCGTCATTTCTTCTCACTCCCGTCTTTGCCGTGTCACACAGTCTTGTCAATCGGGGCTCGTGGAAACCGTGCCTCAGAATGCCTCAGTAAAACACAGAATAAATCTTCTGCTACACCCGCCTCAGGAACGCATGTTTGGTCTATTTGCGTCAAGTAAGCGCGACGGCGAGAGTTTTGTGTGGAATGTTTGTTTCCTTAGGGCGCGGCTACCGGAAAAGGTGCAACATGCAAGCGCCATGTCATTGTATGGGGTAAATTTGGATCTGTACCAAGGCTGTTAGACCCGACTAGCGCTGCAGTAGTCAAAGCTTGGTACGCTGGCGGCAAAAGCAACATCTGCAACATTCGAGACCCTTGCCTCAGAACATGTGCATCAACAAGCGACTATACGACAGAAACACTTGAACTGCCTGCAGCTTCGGTTGGCCTGGGAGTATGACTCTGAAAACCCGACCTCGCCGACGCACTGCACCTCGGCGTTGGCGCATACCGAAAACTGAGTTGGCTGGGGCCAAGTCTTACAAACTCCACACCAGGGCTCAGCCCTGGCCTCAGGAACAAGGCCCGCCCCCACAATGATTGGCCGGCAAAGCGCCCATGCGTCTTGGTGTTTCGAAACGGCGAAGCGGGCGTGCGTCCTCTAGTGCATTTACGGCAAACAACACATGGTTTCAAGCAATAACGCACACTGCCTCTGTTCCCAGCGGCCAATCAGCCGGGCATGAGTCGGCTGAAGAGGGTTTGTAGTGGGTTACAATGGAAGTGACGGCGCGCAGGGTGGATCTTCTTCTGGTAGTCGTCTTCGGGAAGGCGCGTTGATGAATTTGTGACGGCTTTCGATGTGTGACGCCCCAACCACCGGTGCCTGACTGCGCCTCTACCCAGCAGACAGGAAAATTATATAGTGTTTGCCAGCCGCCGCATGGCCTGAGGAATCATCCCTTTGCAAGCTATCCCTTCACTGGTTTTTCCTACCGTTCATCGTTTGCATACAACAGTTCTCTCTCCACTTTGCTTGTCAGCATTCGCTATAATATTCGGTATGTAGTCCCTCGACCCGTTTGCGCTTTCTTTCCCATCACTGCCCGTGCAACCGTGTTTGCATCTGGAAGTTTCCGTTCGTTTGCCTTTGTCACAAGGTTCACATCGCGCTTTCCCCTGTTCCACCTCAATTGCGCCCGCTCCTCATATAAACACATTTGGCACGCCCACTTCATCTCTGCAAAACACTCACTTCTCTACTTTACTTGTCCACCCCGCTCTCACACCGTCACTCGCTAAACAATCCTCACAGTCGAATCTCAACCCCATTCTTTACACAAGGACAACCGCCATAATCAAAATGCTTGTCTCAGTCATCTCCGTCTTGGCCGCGGCCTCCGCTGTCGCCGCTCAGTCCTCGACTGTCATTCCCGCTCCCGTAGTGACGGGTAACCCTATCGGCGCCAAGTACGTTGGTACTCTTCCTCCCAAGGAGGGCAGCACCCTCACTGGTTCTATCGAGGCCACTACTGGCGCCGATGGCAAGGGCGTCAAGTTCTCCGTTTCGTTCGCTGGCCTCCCCGAGACTGGCGGTCCCTTCATGTACCACCTTCACGCCAAGCCGGTTCCCGCTGATGGAAACTGCACTGGCACTGGCGCTCACTTGGACCCGTACATGCGCGGCGAGGTTCCCAGTTGCGATGCCAGCAAGCCCGAGACATGCCAAACTGGTGACTTGAGCGGAAAGTACGGAAATGCTACTGAGCAGACTTTCTCGGCCGAGTACACTGACTTGTACTCTGCTACTCTGCCTTCAGACCCTGCCTTCGTACGTCTTGATCATACAATGTAACGGAAGAGCAACATGCTAATATATCCCAGTTTGGCGCCTTGTCCTTCGTCGTTCATCTCAGCAACAAGACTCGTATCGGCTGTGCCAACTTCACCATGATCGACGCTGGTACTAATGGCTACGGCGCTCCCCCGGCGTCTTCCTATGCGCCCGAATCTTCCGGCTACGGCGCCGCTCCTTCATCCACAGGCTACGGCGCCGCTCCTTCATCCATAGGCTACGGCACCGCTCCTTCATCCGCAGGCTACGCCGCTTCTTCATCCACAGGCTACGCCGCTCCCCCACTGTCTACTGGCTACCCTATGATGCCTCCCACCAACACCTCTTCTGGCTTCGCTCAGTCCTCAGGCATGCCCCTCTACAACGCCACCACTATCGCTGCCTCACCAACTGCTGGTCTGCCCATCACTCCTAGCGCAGCATCCTCATCAGCCCCAGCTGAGTTCACCGCCGGCGCCGCTAAGATTGCCGGTGGCGCTGGTGCTCTGCTCGCCGCAGCTGCCGCCGCACTTGTCTTGTAGACGAGCAATGTTGATGCTTAGACGGGAAAGAAAGCTGGACAGCAGGTGCATTATGGCGTTTTCTTTTGTTTTTTTTTATGATTGTCATTTGATACCAGGTGGGTCGCAAGACCGACTCATCGCTTTCTTTGTCAGAGACACGGGAGGGTTAATATTTGGGAACCTTTCGCATGTGTATAGGGTCATATTCACGGGGTCGCTTCTTCGATAATGTAGTTTGATAATGGTATAGATGTGGAAATGTCACAGTTTTGCAAGATTCTTTCTGCTTGCCTTGTTACCTTTGACAAGTCTTCAGGTATAGTGCATCTAGGTACACACACTCCAGCTGTTTGACTTGCTACACAAAGCGACGAGCGGATACTGGCCCGTACAACATCACCTGTCATGATCAGAGTGATAGTTGATGAGGTTGGTGGACTTTTCAGTCGCAGCCGAATGCCATTATACTCATATTGATGAGGGTATCTTTTCCAGCTCAAGTGCCTTAGCTACCTATAGCTGTATACGTAATAAAATGAAGAAATGTATCGTTTTCTAAGCAACGATCCTTTGCTCCACATCCTACTCCTGCCCAAGGCGGTGGCGGAATGTATGCGCGACTGGAAGTAACAAATAATTAGGCTTTGGCTTTGGCCGCCGTCGCTGGAGCCTCATCGTCACTGTCTGGTGTATCGGAACGGCCAGACTTCTTGAACTTGGGCTTGTCTTCTGCGAGCGAAAGTTGGAGACCGCGGTGGTTATATCTCCTGCCCTGGAAGCCAGCAACGAAATTCTCAGCAGGCTCGAACTCGCGGAAGCGGACTGTGACGACGCCCTCGGGCTCCCTGTCGTATAGAGTGCAGTTGGTGACCTCACCGTACTGCTCCGCTGCCTCGCGCATGTCCTCCTTGATCTCCAGATATGCGCCCGCGTCCTCTTCGAGCTGTTCCAAATCAAAGATGTTCCTGATGATGACGACTTTAGCCCATTTGTTCTTTTTGGGCGCCAAGGTCTCGGCGACGTAATCTTCGTTGTCGGACCACTCGTTGAGCTTCCTGTGGATTTGTCAGTGACGATACAGAAGTCTGCAGACTTGCGAACTTACTGGTTTAGCTCAGCGCGATTGCGCTCAGACGCTTTCCTATCCTTGCGCGTAAGCTTGGATGCGATCTTCTCGCCGTCTCTCTCTTTCTTGTGCTCAATCTTAGCTGCCTCGACGTGGATGTTGCCGTTGGAGTTATCGCCTGGGCGGAGAGGGAAGTCGTCCATCAGCCTGATCGCATTGGCAATAGCCTCTTTCTTGAAGTATACAACCATGGCAGTACCATTGAAGACGCCGTCGGTTTCGTACATGTAGATGCGCGGCTCGCCGTTGGCGCCCTTGTCAATGATGCCGTACCTCGAGCATTCGTCCTCGAGCTCCTTCTTCGTGGTATCAAGAGGCAGGTTGGAGATCCAAATAGCCTTGTTCTCCATAACCTTGGGCTTCTTGTTGGTCTCGGGCTCCTTCACGTTCTTGCGCTTCTTGGTGTTTTCGGTCGCGGAGGGATCTGTAACAGATGGAGTGTCCGAAGCAGACGGACGGCCCCCTGCCTGGTCCATGAAGTCGTCGAGCTCGCCCATTGTATACTAGAGGATCGCTACCGGAAGCTTTGCAAGCACCAGGGTGGAGTTTTTCGGCCTTCTCAAGACGTACAGAGACGGGTGTAGACGTCGGCGTATCGTGTGATGTATGCTTGTTGACGTGAAGCTTGAGATGTCGGCGGCAGAAAAGTTGGGCGGTGAGGTGTGCTGCGGGACAAATGCAGAAGGCGCTACGGCGGCGATAATGTTCCGGTGCCGGTGCCAGCGACAACAAGGGCGGTTGCCTAGATAGCGTTCAGGGCTCTGCGAGTGATGACAGGCGCTGTTGCTGTTGAAGACGCCATGTTTCGTTAGTCTTTCTGAAGGGCAAGCCCTCTAATGCCGCCATGCTCTTTCGGAGGGCGCGGATGAACCTACACAGCGCTGGGCGAGATGTATAGGGCCTCTGTGTCGAGAGAAGTGTCGTTACAGCCGTTGTGGCAGATTGAGCGTCGTGATGGAGGAGACGGATGACGATGGTGGAGGATCGATAGAGGCGCGGAGTGGTGCATGCAGGACGCCGGTAAATTCCCGCCTAGCGCGTTCAGGGTAGCTGCTCAAGCTTCGATGTTCAGGTCCGTCAGCCCCGCATGTGACGACTCAGGGATCAGGCAAAACGCCCATCCGAAGCATGCAGTGTAGGATACACGAGACACTCCCTACACAAGAGGAAACTTTCTCGGTCAGATCACTGCGCCCCACAGATGAGTATATATAGGCGGAGAATGTAGCCCTGCGACTCCAGTAATCCTCTCCATCCTTACTCTTGCTACTGCGGCGCATAGCGAAACTGATACCATGTCTCTAGTCGACATCTTAACCAGACCCAATATGCGGGATCCTCTTCCTCCACCTTCACTGCTCGTGCAGGCTAGCAAGTCATTCGCCGACAAGCTGAGCCTGACAACACTTCCGTACCATGTCCATGAGATCCTCCTCGGCTTCTTGGGTTACCATTTCATCCTCCATGTCCTTTCCCCGACCATTTCGCAGCTTGTCTGTCCCAACGTGTACAATGGCTTCAACAAGCGCACGCGACTCAACTGGGACATTCACTGGGTCTCCATGATCCAGGCTGTCTTCATATGCGCCGCTGCGCTGTGGGTCATTTTCAAGGATGAACAGAGACACGAGATGGACTGGAGGGGTAGACTCTGGGGTTATACACCAGCTAGCGGCATGGTTCAGGGATTCGCTGCTGGATACTTCCTGTGGGACCTTCAGATCTCTGCCCAGTACATCCACATTGCTGGAGTAAGCTCGTTGATCCACGCCATCGGCGCTTTGGCAGTCACCTGTATTGGTTTCGTAAGTTGTGCGCTTACAAATGTGTCGCACATGCTGACTACCTTCCAGAAACCTTTCGGAAACTACTACGGTCTCTCCTTCGTCCTCTACGAACTCTCTACTCCTTTCCTCAACATCCACTGGTTTTGCGACAAGCTCAACATGACAGGCTCAAAGCTCCAGCTCTACAACGGCATCGCTCTGCTTGTCATGTTCTTCTGCTGTCGCATCGTGTGGGGATCGTATCAATCTATCATGATCTACTCGGACATCTACAAGGCGCTCACAATGCCTAAATCAGAGCTTATGAGCTCTCTGCTCGAGGCCCAGAAGAGCGACGGAGCCGCAAACAGCAGCATGGGTCTCGAGGGACCTGGAGGTCTGGCCGTAGGCGAGCTGCCCATGTGGCTGGTTTGCGTGTACTTGGTTGGTAACACAGCCTTGAGTATGCTCAACTTTTACTGGTTTTCGCAGATGATAAAGGCTGTTCAAAAGAGGTTCGTGCCTGCGGACGAAAAGAAGGCAAAGAAGAGCCAGTAAGCTCTTGTGTTGACAAGGAATGAGATACGAGTCCAGGATATGCGAATGTTTTTGGTGAGCACTACCTAATGTTGCTGATTGATGGAACGGACGGCTACAAAATGATGATACCCAGCGTCCTTGATGATTGTTGTGTTTATTAAAGTCGATAATACTGAATATGAACCATGTACTGTAACGTAGCGCCCAGTGACCTTTGTGACCTGAATGAATCGAATAGGGCCCAAATCCGCGGAAAACAACAGCTTGACCCGTCCCTCTCATAACTTCGCACTCGTACCACTCATCTTCTCTACCTCCTCTCTTAGTACCCTTCGCATTTCGCCTGCCATCTTGGCGCCCTCTTCGTCATCCAAATCATCTCTTTGACCCCGCCCAAACATTGTCCAGCTCTTGTTTTTGATCTCTGGCATTGTCTCTGGACGCGGAATGATGTGGAAATGCACATGTGGTACCACTTGTGCGGCACGCGCTCCTACGACCGTGTTAGACGATGAAGAGACGGCCAATGTGTAACGTAATCCCAGTACGTGTATCTCCGGAAGGAATGTAAAAGCGAGACAGAGGTGGAAAGCGACTTACCGTTATTCTGCACAATGTTGTAATCTGTTACACCTGTAACCTTGGCCACTGTCCTTGCTAACACTGGTAGCCAGAAGCCTAGTTGTTCAATGAGTATACTGATCTTGTCACATAGTAATGCCCATTAGGCAACTTACCAATCTCTCTACTCTCCACGGGTTCCATGTCTGCAACTTTGACTTTGTGCTGTCGAGTAGTGACTAGTAAATGTCCTGGTACATGTCAGCTATTGTCCGCCAACTCATAAAATCCTCAAATCTCCATGTTTCCATCACATATAGTTTCCATGCGAAGAGTATAATGACATGAACATGAAACTTACCGCCAGTCATGGGTAAGATGTCAAGAAAAGCAACAACATCCTTGCTCCTCAGGACAACAAAACTACTCGGATTGGTCTTCTCCGGGTCGCTTTCGTCGTCTTTAGGTACACAGTCTAGGTAGGACTCGTGGCTTTTACTTCTACTTGTCCATAGTGTAGGACTATTTGACGAAGAGGGAGCTGAAAATGGAAAAGCGGCTGCAATGTTGCAAAACGGACAAGTTTCGGGTGGATAGTGGAGGTCCGTTTCTTGCATGATTGGTTGTTGACGGCGGTGTTGCTGTTATTCGATGATGATTGCTGTGATGTATGGAAACACGCAGGTGTGACACAGATGCCCGGGTGCGTGTGCGTCCGATGAGTACTGAGTCGCGAACCACGATACTCCTGCTCAATCCAATTCGGCTTGGAGAATGAGATGAAAACTGCGATCAAGGTTTCCCCGTACTGATGATTGATCGACAGCCGGAGCTGTGGTCGCTGTGCATTCAGCACTTGATTTGAGCTCCGAATCCAAGTTAGCGTCGATACTGACGTGAAGAGCCGAGGTACGTTGATCGCAAGGAACGCGACATGCGGCTAAGCACGTCGCACATCGGCATCGCGATCTTGAAGCGGGAGCGTGGCGTGTTGGCGACAGGACGCGCACGCGAAAACCAGGAAAGGTGGCGTTTTTTGAAAGACACGGTGCTGACGTATCGTGTGGTTTTCGGGATCCAGACGCGCACGCGATGCGTCTCGTGTCTGGTGTGGGCCTGACGCGAGATGGCTGGGAGAATGGCTGGCTATGCCATCATCGTGTATAGTCACGTCAGGCCAAAGGGATTCGCTCATTGGTGTTTGGTTGAAGTTCTGGATGACATTTATGGAATTTCTGCTTCATTTGACGCGAAACAGTGCGCTTTCAGACTACTCATACACTGAGAGCTATCTCACATCTGCTACCCCAATGACCATATTCCCACGCGACACCACATACAGATCCACAAAGGAATAGCCTCTCCCATATCACACCATTCATGGTATATCGATCGCTAATGCTATGAGCGAGTATCCAGAGCCGCTACAAGGAGAAATGAAGTTAAGAGTGATGTGAAAAAGCAAGCACCCTTGATTTGCGCCTCCGTGCATGGGGGATGAACGCCTGCGACTCCATGTTCCAAAACAAGACAAGAAACCATAAAAGAAGTGTGCAACCAACTTGCATCCCATGTATTAACGCCGACCGGAAGATGGTATTAGCCAAGATGTAAACATGAAGGGTTGGCTTGGATGCAATCGTAAATTTTTGCTCCCGGTCGGAACCGAACTTCGTCAACCGCTGCTATTAAAGCATGGCGGTAGTGAACAGCTTTGCGACTCCTAAGCCAAAGACCGGGAGTGCCTAAAGAACACCAACGTCTTAGCGCTGGCTCTTGGTCTTGGAAGGAACAACGGCAGCCTCCTCCTCTTCTTCTTGAAGCGGGTTACCGTAAGCCGCAACGTAGTCCTTAGCCCACTTGCGAAGAACAATTGATGCTGGTGGGTGTTAGTTGGGTTCCCAGAGAACAGAGTGTGGTGCGACATACCCTTCAAGAACTTCTTGCTAGCATACTTCTTAAAGAAAGCCTCGTGCACGACGGGTCCAGAGAGGTAGTCGATCATGAGCTGCAGGACAGGCTGGATCTCCTCCTCAGAGTAGCCGGCGTAGTGTGTGAGGGTGTTATCCTGTGGATGTTAGTGGGGGATTGCAGTATAGAAGTTATGATCACTTACCCAAGGGCCACGCTCGAGGACGAGACGAGCAAGGTACATAGCAGCGGCAGCAACCTGGCTTGGGGGGTGGGCGAGGAAACGATGGTCCAGGCAGCCAATCTCGAGGAGGTACTTGCCCAGTGTGCGGGTCTGGATGTCGTAGTTGTCGGCCTTTGATATCCGGCGAAGGAAGTTCATGGGGTTCGGGTAGCTCAAGTCGTAGTTGAGAGCAGCAAGGACAAAGCGCTCGGCGCTGAGAATCTCCTCTTCGGTGAAGCCATCGTCGGCGACGTGGCGGAAGTTCTGGACGTGAGGCGAGAGGACCTCCTCGTACTTGGAGGCAATGAACATGGCGGTGACACCGACCAACTGGAGACGGTCCAGCTGGACGATCTTGGCGGAGAGGAAGCGGTCGATGATGTTGACAGCGAGGAAGAGGGTCTCGGGAAGAAGGCGGAAACGGGTGTGAACTTCGAGTAACCAATCGACGAGAATGCCTCGCATCTTCCATTCCAGCTCAGTCTGGCTTTCCATGTAGTCTGGGTTGGCCATGGTAGCAATCTCCAGCTCCTTCAAGTACTCGAAGATCTCAACAACATACTCGGAGACCATCAATGGGTCATCGACATCCTCCTTGTCTAGATCTGGGCCATCGTAGAAGACCTCTGTGATTGGTGCCTCGACCTCCTTCTTTGTGCCGTTGACTGGCTTGGTGTCCTCAGTGACATTATCCTCAGGCTTGACGTTCTCAGCCTCTTCCTCCTCTTCTTCATCGACCTCCTCAATGTCTTCCTCCTTCTCTTCCTTGACGGGCTTGGTGACTTGGACGCGCTTCTTGGCCGGCTGACCGGCGATACCGTTGCCGCTAGCTTGGCGCTTCTTCAGGTCGGATGAGTTGAGGTTCTTGTCCTTCTGTTCGAGGATAGAGCGCGTCGAGTTGGCTCGCGATGGCTTCTTGATGCCAGTGGGCTGTGCTGCTTTCGAGACTGCGCCCTTGGGGGCCAGTACCTTCTTTCCGTCCTTTGCGCCAGCACCGACGGCATCAGTCTTGGTCACATTGCTGACGTCACCAAGGGCAGCACGCTTCCTTGTGGCAGCGCCGTTGGCGCCTAGGGTAGCAGTGGATTTCTTGGTCTGGAGAGCCTTCTTGGGGACGTCGGCAGCAGACTCATTCGCGCCGAGGTTCGCGGCCTTTGCACGCGTCAAGCGTGTCGTGGCGGCGTTCTCATCGTTCTCGTTAGTGACGGCGCGCTGCCTGAGAGTTCGAGCCTATTACACGCGTTAGTTCGATGCATGGTGACAGACGTGTTGCTATGGTGGATCGAAAAGATGGGATGATAGCAGGTGAAAGGGCGAAAACGTACAGCGGGAGGCATTGCAAGCAATATTATATATGCTGATCAAGGCTAGAGAGGTATCCAGGTGCTCGAGTATATCTGAAGTGTAATGGCGTATGTAGGACTTGTTTTGATACACTGTTTTGAGGTGTCAGCAGAGCTCGATGAAGCTTGAAAAAGCGCGTGTGCAGGCTGACAACACGGGAGCATCAAGAGCCGCGGTGTGCATGTGCAGTCCGACAGGCAAAACCACGGTCGATGCTCGCGAATGCTGGCTGCTCTGCCACGCTCTCTGGGATGCGGCAGCGACGGTGACGTGACGGGCGAGATGGAGACAAACCCTTGGAGCGCGAGATGCGTGGTAATTGAGTGGACGGGGTAGAGGTCCAGCTACAATCGTACACAGGAAGTGGTGGATGGGGGGATGGGCGAAGGAAAGGTGGGCACCAAGGTGTGTTGTGGGAAGTAGGAAGGGTATGTTGTGTGTTTTGAGCGAGGGCAGGCTAGCTTGGCTTCCACGTCCCACGCGCCAAAATCGCATTCGAGGCTGGCAGAGCGTAACAGTGCACGCCCCACAGGCGCGTAGATGGACTTACCAGAGATGACGCCAGGTCCCAACGCGTAAATCTGTCCGTGCAGTAAGATGAGTCGAGTCGCTGGCAAAAAGCAGATGTTAAAGATGGGGTTTTGGAAGGTGCAGCGCAAGGCAGAGCGGTGGTCGAGATGCCGTGTTGTGATGGGCGAGGGAAGCAGACACACGTTGTTGCTGGGACATCGCGCCTTGCCTGAGAGACCCACCCCGGGCCGGCCTAGCCAATTGCGGCGGGTTTGAGAATTATTCGTGACATGTCCAGCAGCTGCACGCCATCCAGCAGGCGTCCATTGCAACAGCGTGAAGCATCTAGTGTCCCCAGCTGCATCAGACGAGAATGCTGCAGCCGCGGATATGTCATTTCCAGCCCTCGCGACTGGGCCGGGCGCTGCTGTCTGCCCGCACCTACGCACAAGTCCAGGCCATCGACGTTAAACCACCCCCATCGATACAGCCTACCGTGGCTGCCGACGCCGGTGAACTGAAACAGGAAGGAACACGAAAGGAGCGATTTATTCCTCTACGCACATACAAGCCCCGCACACCCGGTCTGCGACATCTCAAACGACCTGTCAACGACCATTTATGGAAGGGACGACCGCACCTCAAGCTCACCATCGCCCGCAAGGGACAGCATCTGGGAGGAAGGAACAACACAGGACGAGTCACAGTCAGGCATAGAGGTGGCGGCCACAAGAGAAGGATACGCATTGTCGACTACAAGCGCTATCTGCCCGGCAAGCATGTGGTGGAAAGAATAGAGTACGACCCCAACCGGAGCTCACACCTGGCCCTCATTACCCGCGTGGCAACCGGAGAGAAGTCGTACATCATCGCTGCAGATGGCATGCGGGCGGGAGATGAGGTCGAGAGCTACAGGAGCGGCATTCCTAAAGAGCTGATTGCCAGTATGGGTGGCGGCATCGATCCCGGTATGCTGGCCGCGAAGACGGCGGCGAGAGGAAACTGTCTTCCCATTCACATGGTGCCTCTTGGTTCTCAGGTCTACAATGTAGGCACCAAGACACAAGGTGGGGGTGTTTTCTGCCGCAGTGCAGGTACATACGCCATCATCGTGAACAAAGAGGAAGTCGAAAAGGGCAACAGCACAGAGATCAAGCATGTTATCATCCGATTGATGAGCGGCGAAATCCGCAAAGTCAGTGGGGATGCGTGCTGTACTATTGGCGTTGCTAGCAACCCTCAATCACATTTCACATCGCTTGGCAAAGCCGGTCGTTCACGGTGGTTAGGAAAGCGACCGGAGGTCCGCGGTCTTGCAATGAACGCAGGTCAGTCCTTGGATCAGTCTAGCTTTGACGTGAAGTCCACTAACACACCGCAGCTGATCATCCTCACGGTGGTGGTCGTGGTAAATCTAAGGGTAACGTGCATCCTGTCAGTCCATGGGGCACTCCAGCAAAGGGAGGTTACAAGACCAGACACAAGAGAAACAAGCACACCTTCCTTGTCCAAGATCGACCACGCAACCAAGGAAAGCGGAGGTCAAAGTAGGGTAGCAGCCGGTGTACTATACGCTCAGGTCCGAGTTGTACTATATCTTGTAGTGGCCCATCGCATGCCGACTACCAATACATCAGTACTCACCCAGCTGGGCCCTCGAAGCATTTGCGGTGAATGTCAACACAAGTCTGTTTAGTGACATGGGTTGTGTGCTGTGTGGCCTCCCCAGCGAGTCCAGCTTATCCACCGACCCCAGTCCTTTCACCGAATACCCCATCATGCGCATTACACCACCAAACACGTATCTCCTGCTTAGACAGTTTGACATGTTCTCGAACTTTGTGCTCTCATGCAAATCTAAGGTCATTGGCTTGGCAGCGTACATCGGTGGTTCTCTCGGTCGCATCTATCCCTGCTCTTGTACAGTCAGCATGTTTAGTCAGCGACCAAGCTCGGTGGTCGGGGCTTTCCATGTTGCTGCTCTATGCAATCTCGCGACCACCTCTTCCCAGCCCGCATAGATCACTGGGCCGGGGCGAACCAGATCTACTGGTACAGCTTCACTGAGATGGAAGTTGAGGAGAAGGCGCCATCACGTATTAAGTTTGGCTACTCGTATCTTGAAGTTACTGCTCGTCTACAACATTTTGTGATTACTACTAGTGCAACCGCTGATAGACCGACACCCTGTTTCAAGCCGTCGACCAAATGTTTGGGTTGATGACACAAGACGCTGCGCGAAGATCGGGCGCATTCTGACCCATCTTCGGTTGGACTCATGCCCCACATTGCCGCACTGGCGATGCTGCATGTTCAGGGCCCTGCAGACACACGGCACCCGCATTCGTCGGACGGCACGTAAGATTCGGGTTACTGAACAGCTGTCAGGATTCATAGGGCCAGCTGTCTATGAAAGTAGTCGTGTCTAGCTGCGAAACACGAGTAAGGGGACCTTGTGGACAATCCTAGCTGGAAAGCTCGGGAGATCCGCCATTATTAGTCCAGATGCTCGACGTCTTGCATCACGCTTAAGGCAGCACGCATTGCGCGGACGGCCTTGCAGATGAGACCACACAGATGAGAGCAGCTCAGCCATGGGTCATTTTATGCCCGCTAGTGAATACACTTCTGACATGCTACTTTCGCATCTACCTTAGAGCCATATCGCGTTCCTAGTGCTGGCGCCAACCGTCCCTGCCTACTCACGCGTGCTCGAAATCCCCTTCACCGACAACGATACCCCAACAGTAAGCGACCGTTGTACCGCCGACGTAGGTTTGACCCAATCTCGCAATAAAAACGAGAGTTGTGGCTAGCTAGAAGACCCCCAATCCGTCTGAACCGTGCTTACGCGGGGGCGGTGTCCTCTGGTTCAACGTGGATCTACGATCCCTCCTCGACCCCCAAAGATCACAGTAATCGCTACCATGGCTTCTAACGGGTCAGAGTCGCCGGATGAGACCTTCTTCAACGATCTTTCCCAACAAGCGCAAGAAACAAATTCTACCAACGGTCAGGACACACAGCAGGAGGGGCCGAACAAGGTCAAAAGGATCGCTTGTGTTTTGTGTAGGAAGAGGAAGCTGCGATGCGACGGCGCCCGGCCGACGTGTTCGACATGTAAGCGACTGTCCCACGATTGTGCCTACGATGAAGTCCGCAAGAAAAGTGGGCCCAAGCGTGGCTACGTGAAGCTGCTCGAACAACGACTGCGTAAGTGAGCGCGTAATTCTGCTACCTATCTCGTGCTGACTCGCTGGTTGTAGAGCAAGTCGAGACCCTCCTTAAGACCCAAGACACGGCCGACTCGAGCAAAGAAGCCCCGCGCCAGGATTCCGCTTCCGCATACGTCGCGAACACTATAAATCAAGCGCTGTCGAATTCTAGGGACGGCCTCAACGCGACAAACAATTTCCAAGCAGGAACCAATGCATCGAGGACTGCTGGCGCAAGCCCATTTCAAAATGCCGGTACAACAGGGAACGACGCCGAGACTGAGCCCTCATGGGAAATGATAGGACTTGGGCTAGAGGAGCCTCTGCCTCCCCAAGAAATCATGGACGATCTGTACGACGGCAATTCTGCTCGTGATTTGGTGGTTTTACTGACACTCAGCCAGATATCAAATATACTTCTCCAAGCTCCATCTCTCCATGCCCATCATACATAGACCAAGATTCATGGCCGCTTTAAACCTGGCTCCTCACATGCGACCCCCAGTTTGCCTGCGATACATCATTTGGACTCTAGCAGCTTCCATTACAGACAAATACGATGCGTTACACGAACATTTCTACCAACGTGCTAGGAAATACGCGCAAGCAGATGAAATGAAGGGCCATGGAGAGTCTACCATCACCCTTGCACATTGTCAGACATGGGTTCTGGTGGCTACGTATGAGTTCAGGCAAATGTACTTCCCGAGGGCCTGGTTGTCATCTGGGAGAGGCGCAAGACTAGCTCAGATGATGCAGCTACATCGCTTGGATGGAGCGGGACTTGATGTGAAGCAATGCCTGGCTCCACCAAAGGATTGGACCGAGCGTGAGGAACGTCGAAGAACCTTCTGGTTGACTTTTTGCATTGATCGATATGCAAGTATTGGAACCGGTTGGCCGATGACCTATGATGAGAAAGACGTAAGGATGGACAACTCGTTGTTCTGCCTCTGCAGGTGCTAACCGTGGACTAGATCATAACCAACCTACCTGCAAGTGATGAAGCGTTCGAGAAGAGTAGGCCAATGACAACTGGGCCATTGGAGGAAATCTTCAATCCTGGAGGCGTGGCAAACCTCCAAGCACTCGGCGGTATTGTTCTGACAGCTGCCATGTTCGGCCGCAACTTGCTTCACTTGCACCGACCCTCGCCAGACGATAACGACGACGATATCAACGGTGGCTTCTGGAACCGACATCGGCACATTGAGCGTATACTCCTTCAAACATCGCTGAGCCTACCAGACCCTCTCCGTCTACCATCTAGTCTAGCTGATCCTAACGTCGTGTTCACGAATATGTGCATCCATACCTCGGCAATATGTCTTCACCAAGCAGCAATCTTCAAGGCAGACAAGTACCGGTTGCCGGCAAGCGTCAGTAATGAGAGCAAGATCCGATGTGTAACAGCAGCGGCAGAGACTGCTTCTATTATGCGCATGGTCAGTCATATGGACCTTGGTGCAGTAAGTATAGTCTTGGTTGCGATGAGTAGTTGGCAATGACTGACTTGAGCAGATGAACCCGTTCATCTCTTTCTGCGTTTATGTGGCAGCAAGAGTATTCGTCCAGTACCTTAAGACCCGACCAAAAGATGAACAAATGAAGTCCTCGCTGCAATTTCTCTTGCAAGCCATGGAAGCCCTTCGTCGGAAGAACCCGCTCACGGAGTCGTTCTTAGTGCAATTAGATCTTGATTTGGAAGGCGCTGGTCTGCAAGGCATGCGTAATCAGCCATTAGCACAACCTACGGGCAAAGTAAGTCAACCCCCAGAGAGTCTCCAGGGATTGAGCGATTCTGTTGCGAATCGATACCAAATCCCAAGTCGAAGTTCTACCAAGTAAGTTGCTAATCCCCAACCCATAGTCTACCATCATCTCGATTCATTCTGATCCGCAAATTCGCTGTAGTCCTTTGATCAACATACAAGAATCACAGCATTCTACCGCAGCAGCCACCACGTTCAGAGATGGCGTTCCATTTACTCCAGCATCGATACCCAATACGCAATACTCGAACAACAATTCAGGTCCGCCGTTTCATATCCACAGCATCAACAGCATCAATATGCATGCGCAGAATGCGGCCTTCATGCCATCGCAATTTAACTCACACGGAAGCTTTGCTGCTAACCAAGAATTCACTCCCGCCGGCTTCGCATTCAATGAGGGGAATGAGATGGACCTCTCTGGAGGCGATAGAGGTGTTGACCAGCCCAGTCCCGCAACAATGAGCACCCAATCACGAAACGGTTCAACGTCACGATCTTCTTACTCTCCTGGTCAGCCAATCGAGCACAACATCCCATACCGGGCGTCCCCTAAGATGACAGGGCCGCCGCTGGGTTCTAACACTGGTTTCCAAGGATTTGTTGCTCCTAGCGAGAGCTTTCCTGCAAATAACTTTGGCGCATCTGGAAACATGGGCAACACAGGTTATGGTGATGGGTTCGTGATGGGCAACGAGTGGGAATATGCGGCTTTGAATGCCGGGACAGGTCTCACGCCGATGGCAGACGCATCGTGGGATTCGATGCTGGAAAATATCACGATGGGATGGGATTCTGTCGGTCCTGGACACGAACACGCCAACCGAGCAAATGCGGCTGGGACATGATGAGGCTTGGGGTTGAGAAGATGGTTGTGTTGGAATAGCAGGATACCCACTTTCGCTTTTGATTAGATTTGAATTGGGGTTCGGTGGCATAAATGGATTTGACTCCAGGCCTGCGCATTGTTTTGTTAGTACGTCAGCCCGACGATTGTAAATGTCATTTACGTCATAATAGAGGGCCACTAGAAAAGGAACCTGTACATTACTATTTACACCACTCGAACTGGCATACCCAGGTATCATCCTGGGCACTTTTGATCATCCCCCAGATCCGTGCGTGGGGCCAGACACGTATATCGACGGAGCAACTTCGGATCGCAGACGACGAACGCTTTGACGAGAGTGTTCATCGAGCACGAACTCATTGATTTTGCGCCTAGAATGCGAAGTCGATACTTGGCCATGTATCCGATCTTCAGGGTCTCCGGGGATAATGCGGTTGCAGGGATGGCCAGGTGGGAGCGGTCAACCAGCGTCACACGTCGCAGTTGCCGGGCAACGAGCGAATAGAGGAGCGACGTGCAGCGGCTCTACCACATCACCACCGCTTTTTCGCAGTGTAGTGTCGTACAATTAATCTTCTCTCGTTCACATATCGTTCTCTCCCCTTGTTTCCCCGAGTTAGCAATTTAGCTCTCCCAGCCAGCGCGCCACTACTTCCGGCAAGTACAAACAGAGCAGTAAACATCGAGGCCAGCGTGCATCCCCAATGTTCACGTCCAAGGAAAGGGAAGGCGCTTCATCGCCCGGGCCTGGTGCCTACTATTCTCCGTCCCAAATGAGTAAGAAGCATCGAAATGCATCTGCAACTGCGATACTGACCATTGGCATACAGAGAGCTATCTCCAAGATCTTCGCACAAACCGCCCCGCTCGTCCTACCGGAGCTCGTCCTGCTCCCGCACATTTCAACACATGGTCGAATAGATCCAGTAACCGAATGTCCGACTCGTCCGCTATCTCCTCGTTACAACGCACCTTCACGGATCCCGTTGTCGACGCCGATGCGCGACCCTCCTCCTCGTACGAATCCAAACCGCATAGCCGAACGACGTCGAAAGCGAGTATAGATGACGTCGTAGCCAATGTTGGAAGGCCGCTGGTGCAGCCACCGCGAGGACGGGAAACTACGAGGTCGTCGTCGCAAACACGAACACCAAGTGTGCAGTACCGCGAAAGGGAAGAGCGTCAGGCGGAGCAGGGCGAGGCACGTGCTATCCGCATTGCCATGGAGGATCTGGAACTCGCGCAGGAAGAGGGCAAGATATTCGAGGCGGCACGAGACGAAGCTGTCGAACTGGTCTGGAAGCATTGCAATCCCCATGCGGCTGGCGTGAGTCCGACCAAACCGTATGCTTATCCGGGCCTGGCCAGGAAGAACAGCGCGCAGAGGAGTCGGAGCGTCGAGCCGAAGGATCAGGATCTGCAACGGGCCAATTCTAAACTGCGGAAGCGACATTCGATGGGAAGTGCCGCGTCAGGGAGCAGGAGTAGCAGCTTGCAAAGCAACGGTGGTGGAAGCAATACCGATACATCAGTCGCTGGAAACGCAGGTTTCAGTACGTCGCCCACCAAGAGTAGCTTCGACACAAAGGGCAACAAGGACGAGTCAACAGCACTAAAGAAAGCCATTTCAGACCTCCCAGACTTCAGAGGACGAAGAAGGAGCAGTGGTCAGCGCCGGACTATCAGCGGGAGTCTCTTCTCGAATCCGAAGGACCAGATATACGAAGAGCCCGAAGAAGAAGCACCACCTGCGCCTGCACCTACGCCCGCCGCTTCCGAGCCACCGAAGCCCGAAAAGCTACCACTAGGCATTCGGCGCAATCCCTTTATGCGTTTCCAATCCATCAAGGGAAACCCGATGGTGAGGTCCAACACGGATCCCACCATGGCTGCTAAACGCCTCGATCGTTACGAGATACAAAAGAACCCTCCGACTCAGTCAAGAAACGCGGCGTATACACTGAACTCTGCAGCTCCAAAGCCGTCAGAGGATGTCAAGGCAGACGCAGAAAATGAACCAGAAGTGAAGATGAAGGACGGCAAGGAGATAAGAAGCGAAGAGCTCCGTGCTGCTACAGGGTTTCGTTTGAAGGACCGTAGTGCGAAGCTGCCCACTCCTACGGCAGTCTCAGACGCCCCAGGGCGACCGATCGTTTCCTTCAAGAAAGACTGGAACGTGATCGAGATGAAAGAGGAAATATCTACTGCTCCCGATCTGACACCACGACCTCTGAACCCAAATAAGTCTGGCAAGCCTCCACTCGAGCACGCTGCAACCGAGCCCATCGTACCTACCAAGAGCCTCGCACCAGATGTACCTAAGCGAAACACTACTCCAAGACCGCCTGTGGTTCCAGAGATCAACGTTCCTGCAGAGCCCAAAGTCAGTCTTGCACCAGACGTACCAGAGCGAAGCACCACTCCTAGGCCACCGGTGGCCCCAGAAGTTAACCATTCGTCAGCTTCCGTTTCTGCACCTGGGCGTTTCAATCTGAAGTCGAAACCTACCATCAACATCTACGAAGACCCTCCAGCCCCAACGAGACCCCTACCACTCACTAGTTCGCTAAGGAAGGCCAACATCCCAACTCGACCTTCTGTAACTCCTCTGCCTACTATTAACGTGTCTGAATCGGGCCCTGCGCGTTCGAGAACGACACCAGCACCGCCAGTTCCTTCTATCTCCGTGTCTGAGACCCCATCGATTTCAGCCAGGAAGAATCTGTTCAATCGTAGCTCCTATGTGCCGCCAACAAGTAGCACTCCGTCTATACCAAGCATATCGGTCAACGAGTCTCCAGTTCTAAGACGAGGTTCCACAACACCCTCAGTCTCCATGACACCAGAAATCCCATCAATCTCCGTGAGCGAATCACCTGCGCCGAGCCGTGGGTCAAGAACCAACGCTCCCCCAATTCCAAGCATCTCCGTGAGCGAAACACCTTCACTGAGGAGAGGGTCGACTACACCATCCATTAGTGTGACTCCTGACATTCCAACCATATCTGTCAACGAGGCCCCAGCCCCTATTCGAGGGCGCAACAACAACAACAACCACCCTGCGATATCGGTCAGCCCTTCAGTGCCTTCGATCAACGTAGACGGACCCAAAGGTTTTGGCCCGGCCGCGTCTACACGACCACTACCAGTGCCAAACGCTCATAACAAGTCCCACAGCTATAACGGCACTGCGACTCCCCGCTCAGGCCACTGGACACCAACCACAGTCCGTACAGGCGCTCTCTGCACTCAATGTGCCCTCCCTATCGCAGGCCGTATCGTTTCAGCATCAGGCTCCCGCTTCCATCCCGAATGCTTCGCCTGCTACCAATGTGGAGAGCACCTCGAATGCGTAGCCTTCTACCCGGAACCTTCGAACAAACACGCCGAACGCGTCCACCGCATCCGCGCCCGTCTTTCCGGCGCCGACATCCCTTATCTCCCCTCCCACCCCACCGCAGACGACATGGCGCGTCTCGAGTATGATGATGGCACTGATGAATCTCCACGCTTCTACTGCCACCTCGACTTCCATGAGCTCTTCTCACCGCGTTGCAAAAGTTGCAAAACGCCAATCGAAGGCGAGGTCATCGTCGCTTGCGGCGCGGAATGGCATGCTGGTCATTTCTTCTGCGCTCAGTGCGGTGATCCGTTTGATTCCACAACCCCTTTTGTGGAGAAAGATGGATACGCTTGGTGCGTGAATTGCCATACGCATCGCTACAGTACGAAGTGTAAGGGGTGTAGAAAACCTGTTACCGATACCGTTGTCAAGGCGCTTGGGGCGGAGTGGCATGTTGGATGCTTTGTCTGTGTGGTAAGTCTTCTTCCTTCTTCCAACTCAAGTATCGCGCTTACTGACTTTACCTGTGTAGTGCTGCTCTGGTCCTTTTGAAGACGGTAGATATTTCCTCAGGGGTGAGAGTCAGGATCCTGTTTGTGTGCGCTGTGAGGAGAGGAGACTAAAGGCCTGATTTGGGTGATTGTCCGCTTGCCGACCTCATTTTGCTGGGTGTTATTTGCATACCGTGTGAACATTTTGGCATTTGCGTCATTTGGGATGGGGAGAAAGGCGCTGTCTGGGCGTTTTCTGGTAGCATATTAGGTAGTTGTGGAGTTGGTAATACAAGAAGAAGAAGAACAACGTTAAACAACACAGTGTGCAGCTTATTGGTCTCGCAGCGGTAAAGTAAGGTGAGAAACAGAAGATTTGGAAGGCGTCTTGACTGGTGCCGGGCTCTTCGCCCCTCTTTCTCCAGGTTTGAGATGTTACCACACAGCCAAGAGGAGATATCGTTCACTGTCGAGGTTGATATTTATCTTGATCAGGATATCGAGGGATCGGGTGGGTATACCTGCTTAGGGTGGATAATAGCCCCGAACATTTGACCTTGGTCTCCACGGTTCGCATTTTCGGTATCACGAACATATCGCGTAGAGTTATACATCCACATCTTGATACACAGGCTTTCCTTTTGCGGCTAATTGTCAGAGATCATGGATTAGTGAGGAACTCAGGTGATATTCGTCGTACACATTGTAACATCGATGCATCATTGTATATCCTAAGAGTGTTTGAATTACGACTATACCAAATACCTTCAGGATACTCTGTAGCCTACATCCACGTTGTTTTTGTTGTCAATTTTTCATTCAATGGTATATCTAATAATACAAAATCTCTGTTCAAAGCAAGCAAAGAACCACGCTTTAGAATCAATAATACGCCATGCATGCACCGTGTTTTCGTGGCCAAATACATGCTTTCCTGCCGGAGAAAGACATCGTCTATTGGCTGCCCCACCACCAATACCCCCAACGATGCAAGAGACAAACCAGAACCAGGCTGAGGAAATCTCTGGCTCAATCTATATCTGCTACCAGAACGCCGCGACGTTGCTAAAAGAAGGAGGAGGAAAGAAGGCCGAGGTGTAGTATACTAAACTGTACTTGCACACAAAATAAGCAAGCGAAGAAGGAAACAAGACAGAGAAGACTGCCAGCGCTACTAAAAGCTGTCTGCCCTTTGATCAAGAAAATTTGGAATCTCCCCCCTCAATTGAGTAAATGGGGCTTACTGACTGCTACCATGTCCAACCCCATTCAAACCATTCATCCTATCAAGAAACCTGTCCGGCGCAGGACTCGACTTTTTAACAGGTGGGTCAAGGATCGTGGGGCTAGAAAGGGGTTCCAGGCTCTTAACTGGCGGAAAGATAGGTGTCTCAGACATCTGATGACTCGATATTGGCCGCATACCATCGTGCTTCAATGGCGCTGGGATGGGATCGGGGAGCATCTGGGCAGGCATTTGGGACGATGGAGACGGAGCTATACGCATTGGTGCTGGGGCCGGTGATGACATGTTTGCTGGAAGAGGTGCGGGCGAACTATGTTTGGTCGGGGAGAATGATGGACGGTTGGCCGAGCTAGGTGGGAAAGAAGAATGTGGGCTGTTGAAGTTGAAACTAGGTGGTAGACCGTTGGCTGGACGGGGAGAGGCCGCCGGAGAGTGTTTTACTGGCGAGCCGCCTGGGCCTGCTGCTGATGCTGGGCGACTGAAGCTTCGCGCGTACCGTGGTGCTGCCGGCTGTGGTGGTCCAAAGGGGTTGGAATCGAACGGATTTGGGCCCCCAAATGAGCTGCCGTTCTGCTGTGGTTGTGGCATGTGGAAGCTTTTGGTTGGGCTGCTCGGGATTCGCTCGAGGTTGTAAGGTGGAGGCGAAGACGTCGGATGACCGTTCCCAGTTCTGTGGCCAGGGGATGAGAAGTGGGATCGTATCGGTGACGACATGCTACCGTTTGTGCCCTTTGTGGGCGATCCATAGGCAGCTTCCGATCTTTGTATACCAGGCGGACCCAAAGCTTGACCACGAGGAGATAGACTTGGGCCATCGACCCACGGCTGTACAGGATGCATAGACGGCTGGAAGGCTTGCGGTGCTGGTAGTCGTGGCATGGAGGGTCTGTTGCCATTTGCTTCTGCTAAGTTTTGAGAAGATGGCGATTGTGATGTCAATCGTAACTTGAGAGACTGAGGCTTCGGTTGATCCGCCTCTTCCTCTTTACGTTTGCAGGCAGTACAGACAAACACAAACTTCGAATCATCGGCCTGTTCTTCTGTAATGCCGTGGCACTTCATGTGTTGCCAAACGTTGCACTTCTCACATGATATCTGAGGCGTGTTGTCGTTCTGTCAGAGTTAGCAGAAGTAGGGATAATTGTGCAATGATACTCACGAGGTTAGAGCCATAGGTGCCGCACTTCTCGCAGTCAAAGAACCAGTCTTCTTCCTCGTTGAGCCTCTTAAGGTCACTTTCGTGCTTCTTCATCATGGCCTTCAGGTGCCGCTCCGATAGTCTTGCATTATTCGAGGCCAGCTTTTGTTCGTTCTCTTGCAGCTTGCGCAACTCCTCTTCTTTGAGGATCTTGGCCGTCTCACGCTCTTTTAGCCGTTGCTCACGAGTCATTCTGCGAGAGTCTTGTGCTTCCTCCATCTTCTTCTGCCTCTCTTGCTCTGCCTTGGCCATGGCAAGCTCCTCCCGCCTCTTACGTTCTGCAGCCTCAGCCTCTTCCACCTCTTTCTGCTTTTCAAGGCGCGATGAAATTCGGGATGAGCGCTTTGCCGTGGCAAGTTTCTGCAAGTTTTCCAACTCTTTCAACTTGCGGGCCTGCTTTCTCGCTTGCTCCTCTGCCAGCCCCTCCATAACAGGGATGACGTCCTCCTGGAGCCTTTTGTAGAGTATCTTCTCGTTTGGGTCGCGACTCTTCCGGATACTGTTCATGTACTCCTGGTAGTCTTCCAAGGTAACGCAGATACACTCCCACTTCTTACCACCAAGCCCGTCGTCTATCGTCTCAGGCTGATGTTCGTCCGCTACTTGCTCATCATCGGCGGCTTCTTCGGGCTCGGGACTAGACACCTTTTGTCGCTTGCTGGATCTCGATCCTTTTGATTTCCTGGACTTTGGTTTGGCTTTGGCTTTGGCAGGTTCGGGAGGCGGTGGTGGATCTGTCATTCGGTACATGCGGTTGTCATCTAGAACATAGAGCGATCGTTCTTGCGAGTCCCAGCCTGTGGGCTCCATACGCTGCAACATGTTAATCATTGCCCTAAACCAATCCATGTGATACATACCCAGAGCGTCTGCTCGTTATCCGTCGCTGCCATTTTCTCTCTTATTGTGTTTGGGTTGTTGAGCGTCCACACAGATAACTGCTGCAACACGCGTATCTTGGTGAAGACGTCGAAGTCGTGGAATTTGTTGGGCTCCTCTTCCTCGCCAAAGGGGTTTCGCGCGGGCGCTTTCGCGACATACTGTCGGCGGGTGTATTCATCAAAGATCTCGGGTCTGTCATCACGTTAGCAGGCTGCAGGCAATGCGCAATGGTGGGTTCCTACGTCAAGCCCTTGTGTGACGATACGTGCTTCAGCAGCGCTAGGCCAATTTGTGCAAGTTTCTCGGACGGCTGTGGGTTGAGGCATTCAGACTCCAATTCCTACACGTCTGTCAGTTCCTGATGTTTGCGAGATGTATGCGCGCCAGCCTGAGATGATGGGCGCAAATGCCATGTACCTCGATGTCAAAGTCCTTGTCGATTTTGACCGCGTCGCCGAACAGACTGATGTACTGGGCCAGGTTGGAGAACTGCCACATGTTGCGCAGTTTCTGCAATGTGCTGGGCTCTTCGACAGGCGCCTCGGCCTCCATTTCCTCGGCGGCGCGTTTTCGAGACGGCATGGCTGCGGTGCCTCGCGTGCAGCGACGCGTGTGAGCAACGGGCGAATACGGTTTCGAGACCAGAGGCGAAGGATAGAAGATGCGCGTGTTATCAGATGACGATGTGGAATGCTGTCGTTGTGCCGGTCGGCTCGGGGTCAGGGCGATGATGTGAATGCGGATGTCCCTTTTTGGTGAAGTGAGTGATGAATGTCGCGCGTCGATTGTCGGCGAGTCCGGGGGAGAGCCCAAAACGGCATAGTGCCAGCTCGCACATGTCAACTCGCAGAGACGGCATTTCCACAACCAAGAACGGCAAGAAATGATATCGATTTCAGTATACAAGCAGAACAGAACGGCACAAATACTATGTTGTATACACGGTGTGAATATGGGTCGCTTACCATGGTAGCTGCCATGATAAACTTTAGAGCACCCATCTCACCGGAGAAATACGGGCTTATAGAGTATCAGCGTTTCGTGAAATGATGCATGAGTCGACCGACGGTGGATTGGCGCGCATCGCACCAACTCGTTCGAATCAACATGGCAAGGGTTTATGTCATAAAGGTTTTGATGACCCGATTGATGACACAGGACGCGTCAGCCACGCAGGCGCACAAGCCACAGCACTCCACCAAGTGTGGCTCATTGCCGGAGAATGCCACATGCCAGGGGCCAGAGACGTTGCATGGTAAGCCGTCAGCAGTTTCGGATCCTCTGCGGTCGTGTTGGTCCCTGGTGCTTATGGTAGTGTATTTTGGCTTCACGAGTAAACACCGTGTACAGCAAGAGGGCATTCGCCGTAGCAGACGCATTCTGCTGTGGACATGGAGCAGCGCATGCCGACACGACAGGTACAGTAGCCGTTAAACTAAGATTAGAACCTCAGCCCTAGTCCACGCTGCGTATCCTTGTCGCTCATTGACCCTTGTCCGTGCTTGGGAATCCGCTATCCATCCCGCATTTCAACCAACACTTTGCTACCAAACATACAAGACACGCCTTTGCAACTCTGCGTTGGACTTAGCTAGCCCACCACCGCCTTTCCCACCGCTCCTTTCACCACGACACTCGTTTATCTTTGTTTGGAAGCCTGCATGATTGCGCGATAGCATCCTGAGAGAGCTGAGCTGCATCAGATGCTGGATTGAACGCCGCAAACCAGACAGGACGCTCCGATGTCCTACCCAGATCCCAACCACGGCCGAAGTCACACCCACCAATCAATACCTCTGCAAGACCTCAACCGCCCGCCTGATGAATTCGAACAAGATGCGCCGCAAGAACACAGGCGGACCCTCAGCGACCGCGGACGGAACCTGCTCAGACAGACAGGCGCGATAGCAACAGGGGGGCACTTCCGCGACTCTCAGTACTCGCCCATCGCAGAGGTGTCGCCCAGCCCTACGCGCTTCGCCCAACGGCCGCAAATAAACACCAATCTGCCCCCAGCAAATAATGGCATACGGAGGGTGGTGGAAGACGAGGAGCCTGGCTCGCCCTTGGATGCAGGCGCATTCCAGGCTGCCATCGGATTTGGCATGGGCATGGAATTCCAAGGCACTACATCGCCGCCAATGCCTACGACAGGCTCGTCGCAATTATCCTACGTCGATACACCGTACGAGCACGAGCCATACGTGGACAGATCAACCTCCGAGGACCACGACTACTTCTCCCCTACCTACGACGACACAGCGCGCTTGACAGATTCGCGCAATCTCCAACCGATAAGCGGAGCCACGGCCCCAACTACTCCGATTGAGCAAGATCGATCCAGTTTCCAGAGTGTGCGCTTCCTCAGTCCGGGCGATGCATCGCCGATAGGCCGCCATGGCGACGATATCGGGCAGGTGGAGGCGGGGGGCAACTTGCGAGACTCGAGGGGAAGGAAGCGCTCCTTGTCGCCTGGCAATTTCGAGTCGCCGCTACACAGGGCTGGGACTATCATGCGGAATATGTCCCAGCGTGTTGTCAATGTCAGCAATGATTCTCAAGTTGCCGAACGAACCCTTCAGCGGAAATCCACTCAACATCAGGGACGCCTTGCACCACCTCATTTGTCAATTTCAACCTTGCCCCAGTATTCCACAGATGGCCCTACCTCACCTGTTCCATCCACGCCAATCGAGAAGCCTCCGTCGCCTATCGTTTACTCAAGAACACCAAGTGCATCATGGCAACATCCTCCAAATCCTTTGCGGGGAAAGAGTCTGGGAATTTTCCCTGCCGACAATAAACTGAGGATCAAGCTCTGCGACCTGCTTGTGCATCCAGTTGTCGAGCCAACGCTTCTTGTACTCATCGTCATTCAGACAGTTCTTCTAGCAGTGGATGCACGCACCAAAGCGCAATACAATGCCGGGCACAGCAAAGAGATCTCAACATTCAACGGCATTGACTACGCTCTGTTCGTCCTTTTTATCATATACACGCTAGAGGTTATTATCCGCATCATTGTCTCTGGTTTTATCATCAATCCCGTTGAGTACAGTACCATCAACCGACAGGTTGGCTTGCGCGAGGCTGTCATGAGCAAAGCAAACCAGTTGTTCGGGGGTCTCCAACGACAACCTTCACAGCGAAGAAGTGCCACCAATACCAATCCCGCTCAGGATCCCCACCAGCCTTCAGTGCTCCGGACCTTTACCACTGCGCAGATGCATACCGACATCGGAGTAGGAGATGCACGCCATCAACAACGCGCTCGCTTGGCACATCGAGCCTATCTCAGACATTCTTTCAACCGAACGGACTTCGTCGCCGTCGTTTCTTACTGGATTGCTTTTGTCCTAGGCCTGTGGAACATTGACAACAGCCGAGTCATTCTCGTCTTCGATATGTTGAGCTGTCTGCGCATCATCCGTCTTCTGAACCTTACCAGCGGTACCTCCGTTATCCTCAGGAGCTTGAAGAAGGCTGCGCCTTTGCTGGTCAATGTCGCATTCCTCATCAGCTTCTTCTGGCTCCTCTTCTCAATTGTCGGTGTCCAAAGTTTCAAGTCAAGCCTCAGGAGAAACTGTGTGTGGTATGATCCAACAGATCTAACGGGTAACACGAACGTCACGAATGAAGGTCAATTCTGCGGTGGTCACCTGGATAATATTCCAGGCTATCACCCTATGACATACATACCTGCTCCGGGTATGCCACCTGGGCCTGACAAGGGGAAAGGCTTTCTTTGCCCAAAAGGTTCAAAATGCGTTGAGATGAGTAACCCCGCTGCAGGCACGAAAAGCTTTGACAATATTCTTCAATCTCTTGAGCTTGTTTTTGTCATCATGTCATCCAACACTTGGTCTGACTTGCTCTACACTGTAGCCGACACAGACTACCTTATCAGTTCCGTCTTCTTCATCGTGGGAATGCTGATTCTGAGTTTATGGCTGATATCTCTTTTGATTGCTGTCATTACTTCCTCCTTCCAGATCATTCGCGAAGAAAGCAAGACTAGTGCTTTTACTGGCGTGGAGATCAAAGAGGAGGATGACGAGAACAACGACGAAAAGAAACGTGTGAGCGGTCTCAAGCGGCTTTACGACAAGACTCTATGGGTGTGGGTGGTTGTGATAGCCTTTGGCCTTGTTGCCCAGATGATGAGAAGCGCCAACATGAGCGAATTTCGTCGCACCTTCATCAATGCCACCGAGATCATCGTCACGTTCATCCTGTTCGTTGAGATCATCATACGAATTATCGTTGACTGGAGACATTTCTTCAAGGGCAGGCGGAACCTCATCGACCTCATGATCGCTATCATCACAGTCATCATACAGATACCAGCCATCAAGCATGCACACGATGGGAAAGCCTATGCCTGGTTGTCCATCTTTCAGATTATTCGTGTCTATCGCATTGTCTTGGCTGTGCCTATGACACGCGACCTCATTGTACGTTCTACTCTTTGCCAGTGGAGAGAATTCAGCTAACAACCATACCAGACAGTTGTTTTCGGAAACGCGGGCGGTTTGCTGAACCTGATTCTCTTCGTGTTCCTTTTGACTTTCCTGGCATCTATCTTCGCCTCCCAGCTGTTCCGCGGTGAGATTCCTGAGGAGAGCGGTGGAGAGACGATCCGCGTACCGTTTTTCGATATCTACAATTCCTTCCTAGGAATGTACCAAATCTTCTCCAGTGAAGATTGGACCAGTATCCTGTACAACGTCACCGAACATCAGAAGCCGTTCGGTACAGCGTGGATAGGAGCGTCCTTTTGTATCATGTGGTTCATCTTTGCTAACTGTGAGTATAATGTTGACATTCACTCCAAGACCGCGGACTCACTGTTTACTAGTCATTGTCTTGAATATGTTTATCGCTGTCATTCAAGAGAACTTTGACGTTTCCGAGGACGAGAAGCGCTTACAGCAAGTCAAAGCTTTCCTGCAGCAAAAAGAAGATGGCCTTACCTCGGGCACTGGGTATGTTGACCTCCGTTTCTACTCATGACACACCTGCTTACACATTATAGTAATCTATCCCTATCGTCCATTTTCAAGCTTGGACAGGCGCGTCGAAGAGATCCACTTGACTATGGTTCCGCCGCCACAGAAATGCTGCTCAAAGATGCGGTTGTTCGCGACTTCCTCGATGAGGGGGATGGTAATGACAGCCCTCAAGAGGAAGAACCTCGGCCTGGCATACGTCCTGCCAAGACCATAGTGGGATCCGGAACCATGTCCACGATCTGGCAACGATTCCAGCGCCGAATTGTGCACCGGGAAGTCAACCCTTTCTACGCTCCCCTTGACTTCAGCCGTGCGTACGAGGACCTTGATCCTAGAACAATGGCAAAGGAGGTCGTCTCAGCTACCGAGAGACGAAAGAAGGCTCAACGCGAGTATTTGAGGAACCACCCGAACTACAACGTTTCCCTGTTCATGTTTCGAGCCAACAACCCGATCCGCAAGCTATGTCAGCGGATTGTGGGCCCTGGCCGTGGTGGTGACCGTATTGAAGGAGTTGCACCATCCGTTCCCGTTTGGTATGCATTCTCTGCATTTATCTACGCTGCCATT